AAATTTGAGTTGGTAATATTCATTAAATTACAACTTAACTTTCATAAATTATATATATGAATTATTTTTTATTAATTAGTAAGAAAATTGTTGCTTATCATTAGATTATATATTAAATCATAATTGATTCTTTAGTGAAATGTTAACTGCCTAACACCTCATTATTGGTTTACTTTATTATTAACATTTAAAAAAGTTAGTGACCAATTGAGACAAACTAAAGATGAATAAGCAAAGTGAAAAAAAGGGTATAACATTCAGTGACCATTCATAAAATTTACCTTGTATATATGCAGGCAAGTGCAATCTATTTAAAAATTCTACTCCATTAATTAAATTAATATGGAAGGAATGGTGTTTCATTATCTAGGTTTTAACATGAACAAATTGAGTGAGATTCAATCTATGTCACCGTAAATAGTGATTTTGAACACGTACCTGTATGAGTTCTCAATCACTGTTTGTAGTGAAGAAAAAAATCAAGTAATCATAGTAATAAATAATATCTATCAAGGTTATTTAATTTATTATCATAAAGAGACATTTTACATAGTACTGCCATTTGGTATTTGATTTTTGACTCCTATAAATCTTTTGCGTGTTGATGGGTATAGGGACAAAGACAAGACCGAAAGATAGACCATGGGCCACGATTTAAGTCGGTCTGTAAAGACCGCCATTGACTTCTGTTAATGACCATTTCACCCTTTCTTTTCTATGCCTATGACCAACTCTATGGACTTAAACCTTTGGGTTCAGAAAGTAAATACTATTTGAGATGTCAAATGCAAAAGGAAAAAATAAGAAATGTTCGAAGAGGCAGTTTGACGAGGCTTTTTAGAATGAATATTAGTAGAAACAAACAAATAATGTATACCCTCAGAGCTTAGTGCGTTTACTCTTTAACATTGTAACGTGTTAGATCATACTTCTTCCCTTTGACTCTAACACAATATTTCTCATCTTTCTAGATTTTGGTTTCTATCAAATAAACCCTAATGCTGACGCTATAGCCCATATAAAACAAGATAGAGAAGGGCAAATTGGTCTCAATGTTCTAGTTATTGGGAGACAGCCGCTGTGTAGGACTTTGTGTGCTGCCGCTAGAAAAGACGGCACCAGTGTGATCTTTTCAATTCTGCGATAGAAAACGAAAGCAAGCTTGCGTAACAACTGGGGAGAAGAAAAGCAAAATGCTTATGCTTCAGTTGGGCCTGGTGGATTACGTACATTCTCTACGATTTCTTGCTTTTAGAAGAAACAGTTAGAAAGAGCAGAAGCAATAACAGGTCTCTGGTGGCAACAACACTATTTCCATTTGTTCACCATTTCTCTGTTTTCCATAGCAAATGCTCAATCCCCGCAATCCAACATAATCAAAGACTCCACTGTTTTGATGCAACGAGTTAGTATGAAAACAAAAACTAATACTTGATAGAGCTTTTAAAATTGATAATCAAGTTTCAAAAGCAAAAGCTTGCACTCAAAATTTGAAAAAAAAAATATCATTTTATAATTTAAAAAAAATTAGTTGTCTAAAAATTAAGTTTAAGTGTGCTATTTATAATAGTCTAATCCTACTTAACCTAAACTCAGAGTGCAAGTAAAGTCAATTAAAATAAGAAAAGTATTCTACCCTACACTTATTTGGAGTACAAAAAAAAGTAAATTCTTAAACCCATATTTACTTTTTGTCTAAATAAAATAAAATAAAATAACCTTAAATACTAAATAAGAAAAATATTAAATATTAAAATTACTTGTTAAACTATTAGACAGTCTACGTCATTCCCATTTACTGGAGAAAAACTCGACCTCGAGTTTACCGATATATCTAAATGTAAGAGTTCATCTGATAAATAAAACAGGTAAATATCCACCACATTAAATATCTTGAAAATTCCTATTGTGTCTGACAGATCCACAATATATGCATTGTCATAAATCTTCTTCAAAATCTGGTGTGATCCATACTTCTTACGCTTTAACTTACTATAAGTTTCCACTAGAAACCTTTCTTTTCGCAGAAATACCATCACTTAATCTCCTATTTCAAACATTTGCTTTTTATGATGTTGGTCTACAGCTTTCTTGCACTTGGCATTAGCTTGCTTTAATTTTTGTTTCACCTATATTTGAACATCTTGCCACTAATTAGCCATATTTTCAACAACTACGCTAAATTCAAGAACTTTTGGTAACTTGATCAAGTCAAGAGCATGTTGTGGCAACTTTGTGTACACAATAGAAAATGGCGATTTTCCTATGGTACTATGAACAACACTATTATAACCAAACTCTACTTGTGCTAATGCAAAATCTGATTGCTTTGGTCTATCTCCACAAATACCACGAATCAAATTACTAAGGGTTCTATTTACTAATTCAATTTGGCCATGAGTCTGTGGATGAGTTGTGTTACTGTAATTCAAGGATGAATTAAACATCTTCCACAAAGACCTCTAAAAATGGCCAAGAAATTCGCTGTCTTAATCTGAAGTGATGGTTTTAGGCACACCATGCAGATGAACAACCTCCTTGAAAAACAATTTGGTTATTTCGCTTGCATCTAAAGCCTACTTGTTAGGGATAAAGTGAGTCATTTTAGAAAACATATCAAGCATGTCATCTAGCTTAGGAATTGGAAACTTGTATCCAATAGTAATCTTGTTGATGGCTCTACTATCTACACACATCTTCTAACTCCCTATCCTTCTTTGGGGTTAGTAAGGCGGGAATTGCAAGTGGACTCATGCTCGTTTGGATATGTCTTTTACGTAGTAGTTCCTCCACTTTTTCCTTGAAAATCTCGTTTTCCTTTAAGTTCATCCTATAATAATGCAAGTTTGGCAAACTAGCACCAAGAATCAAATCAATATGGTGTTGAATATCCCTCATAGGTGGTAAACTATCAAATAAATCTTCTAGCATCACCTCACTAAATTCTTCTCATAACAGTTTAACTACTTTTGAATACTTTACTATTTTTTAGTTCTCTTCAATTGACAAGACTTGCTTTACAATCAAAGCATGTACCTCTTTTAACTCCTTGAAAGCAACCTCTATCTCATTCCCTGAATGAGTAAGGTTAAAGAAAGATCACCATTACACTTTAGAAGCCTTAGTTTTGGCACTTCCTTTCATTGGCAATAAAGTAAACTTTATGCCACCTTTCTCCAATCTGTAAGTATTTTTTTTCCCATCATGTTGTACTGCAACATCAAATTGCCAAGGTCTATCAAATAACAAATGACAAGCATCTTTATCCACAATATCACAATATACCGCATCCTTGTATTTACCGATGGAAAAAGATACCTTACACCATTTTGTTACTTGAATCTTCTCAGTTACCTTAATCCAACAAATGGTGTATAGATTAGAGTGCTTTTAAGCTTTAAAACCCAAACTCCACAACATCTTTACCAATAATATTCTCATAACTACCACTATCAATAATCACATCAAATAAACGATTAGTGATAATGCACTTGGTTCGAAATAACTAATTCCCTTAAGTATTATCCTTCTGTTTTGGAGACAACATCCTTCTTCTCACCACATAGTTCTGGCCATTATTATAATCCTCACACTCGTCATCATCCCCATTTATATCATAGCAAATCTCATCATC